TGCCGTGACCCCGGCGCCGGGCGGTCGCGGGACGCGAGGCGGCCGTGCGGCCTTTCCCTCGCGGCGCCGCTCCCGCCGGGCCGCCCGCTCGTCCCCACAACAGCCCCGTGAGGCAGGCCGGGCGGGGGCGCGCCGTGTGACCTTGGGCCGGGCCGGGCCGGGCGGGGGGCGCGGGGCTGGGGCCGCCGCTCGAGGCGTTTCCCCGGCGGTCTCCTTTCCCCGGGGCCCCGTTCGCTCGGCAGGAAGGTGACATTGAACGGCGGGCGGCGGATTGCGGGGGGGAGAAGGGGCTCCGAGGCCCAGCGGCCTGGAGGCGACGAAGAGGGAGTCCCGCAGGGTCATCCTGCTGCAGCAGCAGCAGCATCATGTGGGGAGTTTTCTCTGTATCGCTGGGCTGCTTGTCTCCTTCTCCCTCTCTTCACGGTGCTAATTTTTATTTTCTTTCTGCCCATTGTATCCGGAGGATAATTCAGTGTTGTTAAGATGAGCAAGAGTGGGGGCGGGTGAGAGGAATCGTGCTATTTTTCATTCTACCAGGAAATGCTTTTGGGTGGGGCATCCCTTTTGTCAGCCCCATAGCAAACGTACAGTCCGGGCATGAAAAGACGGGCAATTGAAGCAGGCCCAGCCCTCCCTGGGTGAGCCAAGGGAACACATTTGATCGAGTGACCTTGGGCCAGTCATTTGCGCTCTAGATACTGCACAGGTTGATTTTCAGGTACAGTGGGGTGGATTATAATGTATGCTGCTTTGTGCTTTTGAAGGGAGAGCTCAATAAAGACAGAGTGAATGTGTCAGTCTCCCACTTCCTTTTCAGAAGGGCACTTAAGGCCTTGCTGCCATTCTCTAAGATAGATGCATTGAAAGATGACCTAGACCTCTGGATTCACTTGCCTGACAATGATTAATTATTTTATTACATCTCTATCCCCATTGTAATTATGATGGCATTGATATCCCACCTTTTCCCTCTTTTGTGGCCACTGAAGTCTCTTTTCACATCTGATGTGTTGCTGCACAACCACGGCTGGCTCTGTTGATCAATAATTCCCAGTAACGACAAGTTGTTGGCATTTTCTTCCCTTGTGCTAGCTTTTGTTCCTTACATGCTATAAGATCTCACTTTATCCAGGAACCGTTACCATGCAATGTCATGCATTGTATTTACAAATTCAGATTGCAGAACTGTTGACGTTGCGAAACGAAATCGCTGGATCACTCTCAACTCTCCTCCTCTGGTTATCTCCAACTGCTGCTAGGCTCAAAATACATCTGAAATTGGGGCAAACCAAATTTTAAACAGAACTACCAATAATTGATCAAGTAGCGAAGTTGATACTAAGCACAAGAATGGGGCATGGAGCAGCCTGCACCTTGCAGCCTCTCCAGATACCATTTTTTCCAGCTGGACTCTGATCCTGGAAGGGAGAGACCAGGGAGGACACAATAAAGAATGGAGTGAGGAGAAAAGAAAGACAAATGGAAGGAATACACTTAGTTCTCCTCATCCGTGCACTTCTTCTTGCTTTTACAAGAAAATGTCCAGCTAGGTTCTCTCTTCTGTCCTGCCTTTTACTGCCTGGTTTGACAGGACTATTGTATGAATGCCTACTAAGAATTACATTGAACACAGTCAAGTGGGGCTTACTCCCAGGTAAGTGGGTATAGGATTGCAGCATTAAATACTTATCAAGAGCCAGCCGTAGCCTGCTTTTCTGTTTATTTACTTTGCACATGAAGTGCCCAGGCCATTTCAAAGGCTCTGTTGGAGTTTTGTGGAAGTGTGACCAAATATTTTGATGCTCTAACTAGTACTGCTCTAAAAGTGAAACTGAAAGCAACATGACCGGTCCAGTAGGCCACACCCAGCTGTCCACGTGTGCGGTGTGTATATGTACAGTGGCTCATGGGTAGATGTGGTTTATAGAAACCATTAGCAGAACTTGGAAGGGGTGTTTTTAATCAATGATCTAAAACCATAAGAAAAATAGGTTAGGGCCAAATTAATAACAGCAGTAGTCAAGCTGCAAAGAACTCATCGTGAATATGGAAAAGGGATCTGTATTTAGTCTGTTAGAGTTCTTATTTAAGGCCTGTGTTTGAGATGTCACGTGTATGTTTACTGTAAACACAAGCTTTGTGTCATTGAACAAAAAACTTAAGGCACAATCCTATGCATTTTTAGGCAGTAAAAAAGGCTTACACCTCATGGCATGGCCTAACCGGGAGTTGTAGGCTTTTCCCCCTATCTTATTAAATTTATATCCTGCTGTTTTCCTTATGAATGCAAAGCTGCTTACATCATTCTCCTGCTACACGCAGTCTTATCCCCACAGCAGCAGTCCTGTGAGGCAGGTTGAGCTGAGGGTCTGACTGGCACAAAGGAACAGTGGGCTCCATGGCCGAGCGGGGACTCGAACCCAGATCGCCCGAGTCCCAGTCCTGCGCGCATAACCACTGTACCACACTGGCTCGCATGTTTATGCCAAATAAGCATTAAAAGATTGTTCTCTTACATGGTCTATGGAGTAGAATATGAACTGGTAATCTAGACATTGCAGTTTGTCTTACACCTTCTTCTAGGATCCTCAAATCATATCTGGTTCGAACCTGTCCCTTTTCTCTGGCAGGATATTATCTTGGCATCTAGTTGCCTCTGGGTACTCATCTGGTCCAGTTCTTCTCACTCTTGTAAGATGTGCCTTGACATAGCTGTTTTCTTAAGCCTTTCCTGTTTAAGTGAGATTTTAGTTTAGGGTCTTTCCTTACCCTCACTCACCTGTGCAGTTGTGAGTTTACAGGCTAGAATTTGTTGTTGGTTGGTCTGTTGCCAGGGTCTGGTCTGTGCACTTACTCTGCAAAGAGCTTTGCCTTTGGATGCTTGAGAAGTAATAGTAAAAGTAATCATTAAGAGCCCCACAAGCTCTTTTATCTATTTATGATAGATTTTTTCCTAAAGGGTACCAAATTTGATCTTCTAGGCTACAGTCCTACATGGAGTTATTTGGAAGGAGGTAACCCCCATAAAATCGGTTTGGCTTGCTTCTGAGCAAATAGTATGTTGTCAACCTAAGTTACTAGCCTGCAGGAACACATATTAGTCTGTTTATGCACACTGTAGAATTGCAGCCTATTTATGCAGAAGTTCTGCTTTTTATTCACTGTGATTCATCATTGCACAGCAGAGCTGGCCGATGGTGTTGAGTCAGAGGCAGCAGAATTGCGGGAGCAGGATACAAATTAATATACAAATACTGTGAATAAACAAAACATAACATTAAAGTGATTGGAGTCTTCCTGTTTGACAGCTTAAAGAGATATTCTAATACATTGAAACTTAATGGCTACAAATTAATTATCAGGAGGCTCACACTTCTAAAGGTTTGCCTGACTTAACTGGAAGATTGAAAGTCCAGTTCTGCAGCATTGAAAATCTGTTCTGGGTTGGATTTCCCACCGCGTCCTCCTGACACAAGTAAACACATTTCCTCTTTCACACAGTAGCCAGAAGGTTAATTGCCAGGTTTCCCGGGCTGAGTGCCTTCTGCAGACTGTTATGGTTACTGCAAGCTTCTGTGCTCCTCCCAGGGGAGGGCGAACCGCCATATGGCTCTCCTGCTGGGAGATGGTGAACAGCCATGATACTTGGATGTGTTTCCTTGGCTGGGAACCCTAATGCCCCACTGAGGTAGCAGCAGAGTGCAGCTGAGCCAGGTGGGCAAGCAGCTGAACTCCGACCTTTGGTAAGCAGGAATTTGCAGACTGGGTTGTTGGTTCTCATGCATAGACCGTTTTCACATGTATACCCGTTGCAGCACGGCATGCCCTTTCCGCTCTTAACATCTTCCTCTTCTCCTCTGTTTTGGTCATGCAGCAGTATTGCCTGCCCGCTGCTATGCTCATGGGACACAAGAGACAGATGAGGAGTTCGATGCTCGCTGGGTGACCTTCTTCAACAAGCCAGATATTGATGCATGGGAACTTAGAAAAGGTAAGGTGGAGAGGAAACACTGAAAAGCGTGGGAACCTGCTTTGCTCCACGGCTGTGCTCTTAGAATAAGCGTTCCTGTCCGGCAGCCGTGGTGCCTGAGCTCTGCAGGTTGGACTGTCCATTTTCAGTCCCTGGCCTTAACGGAATTAGCCCAAAGCAAGGGCCCAGCCTGGGCAAAGCACAGCTCAGGCATTCCAAGTGCTACTCGAATAATACAAAAGCATAATGAAAATGGATCCAGTCTCTCATTCCCTTGCTATTTCATACATTCCTCAGCGTATGGTTGTGTCGGTCATAGGCTGAGCTGGTTCCGTAAGCGCCTCTGCTGTGTTCCAGTAAACATTTGGGCTTTCAAGTGAGGTTTCCATTTCCTCTCCTGCCTCATTCACAGCTTTTTACAGCTTGGTTGTGGCGGTGATGCATCCAGACATGTTTATCTTCCACTCTCAGCCATCCCATGTTTTCCATCTGTTGAGAAAAAGGTGGAATAGCTAGATAGTGCTAGCAACCTTCAGTCTGGAAGCATTCTAAGATGCTGAATGAGTTAGTTAAAATCACGAATCTCTTTGACTGGTGAATTATTTGCACTCTTCTGTTCAAGTAAAAAGGGGTGGAGCTCATGAGCAGAGAGAGAATTCTATAGGTAGACTTAATTAACAGAAATTTCATTCTGTTCTAAGTGAAAGCACAATGACATGTTTTCTTGGGTAAGCCTTGTTAGTTCAACAGTAATTGATAATTTCGTAAGTAACTATCCTTTTAGAAAACTTCTCAAGTTGCTGAGAGATACTAAATGGACAGGGCGCATAATAATCACAAATATTTAGAATGCTGAAAAAGTTGTTAAATTTCAAAAAAATCAAAGCAATAAATGAAGCACTGTTATAGAACTTGGGACTAAAGGTAAGAGAACCAAAGTCCTATCACTGAACTGATATTTTAGATTTGATCTTTGATTTTTTTAAAAAATCATGAATTTAAGCAAAGTGCAATGCTTGCAGTTCTATATCCAATTATAGTGAAATAAAATAGAACCTCTGCAATATAGAAGAGTTAACTAATGCAAAATTAGTTCATAAGATGGAGGAGGAGATGTAAGCTGCCTTGAGCCCTGTGCAGGAAAAAGGCAGGATATAAATAAAATAAAAATAAACTCTTCCAGAATGCTTGCCTATATTCAGAAATATTATGAATCCTGGGAAGAGAGGTGGCATATTTCTTAAATCTTCCTAAAAATTCTCAAATTGTATTTCTTTCTGACAGGTGTGAACACACTGGTTGGTTATGACCTGGTTCCAGAACCAAAAATTATCGATGCTGCTTTAAGGGCATGCAGACGACTAAACGACTTTGCCAGTGCAGTCCGTATCTTAGAAGTTGTAAAGGTACGTGAAACGGCACTAACGTGGGGAGCCAACATTCTGCTTCTGACCTTTTGCGATCGTCCGTCTGTCGGGGACCAGAGCTTGTGCTTAAGTTCCTTAAAGTGCTTTGGCATTTTGTGTTACCACCTGCCTTACACCGATCCAAGCCAGTCCGTCATGCCAGCATTGTCTGTTCTGACAGGCAGTGGCTTGTGGTAGTTTTCCTAGGCCCTGCCCACCTTGAAATTCCTTTCACAGACAATGCCACTGAAACCAAACCTTTAGTACACAAAGCATGCACTTTGTCCCTGAAGCGTGCAACTTTCCCTCCTCGTCCTTCTTTGCACGCAATGCACTCTTATCAGTCATGCGGTGCCAGTGTGTCTTCCACCTTACGGGTCTGCCACCTTGCACAGCCCCTTGCACCTGCAAGCTACATTCTAAAGGAGTCAGTTGCCCTTTATTAACTCTTGATCAAATTGTCCCATATTTGTAAATTTTTTTCCTTGAATGAACCTATGGCTGTTGAAGGATTATCCCATCTGCGCTTGGATATAAATCCCTCTCGATTTTGATAAATCTTCTGTTCCTTCTTGTTTTGAATTCATTTTGCCGTCTATTCCAATTAGGACAAAGCGGGGCCTCACAAGGACATATACCCCTATGTCATCCAGGAACTTAGACCAACTTTGAATGAATTGGGAATCTCAACTCCAGAGGAACTTGGTCTGGACAAAGTGTAAAAGCTATTGGTAAGAGAACAAAGTTTCCTCCGTTGGGTGGGCCCGCCTCGCCTTAAGCGCCCGCTGTGGCATTTCGGTGTTAGTGAGCGCTGTGAAGAAAGCTAGAATGCAGATTTGCATCCTGTTGCATACGATGGAGAGGGATGCTGGTGTATGCCTGCCGCATGGTTAGGTCGCTTCACATGCCCTCAACAGCTCGCAGCTCGTCTGGTGGCTATTGTACCCAGACTGCTTGGGGAATTTAAAATGTGTCTCAGGAAGAAGTAAGTGCAGGTTCCCTGCATTCACCCAGTTTGTTCTCGTGAGCCATGCCTGGTGTCCTTGAAGCCCAGTTCCCATTGTGCTTAATCCGAAGGGACTAGAGGAAAACGCAGTGGACTTCTCTCTCATACCATGACGTCATATTTCTCAGTCGGACCCAGTCGCAGTCTTTTTGAATACCGATTCATTCCTGGCCACCAGGTGTGTCGCCCCAGCTGTTCTTTGCTGGGCTAGTGGTGGCCTTTGAGGGAGGAAAGATGGTGCTTGTGTTTGAAATAGAAAAGACACAGACAGCTTTTTTGATGCTGCATTGGTTATCGCAAACCAGAGGCTCATGGGCAACCGCTTCACTATTGTACACCGCTTGGGCACCATCTGCTGTATGATTGACGCACACATTAGAATCTGTGAGTGAAGGGGTTGTGTGATCTTGGTAGTTGAATCTGAATTGTAAATGGGGCTTGTTAGTTCCCATTTCCCTGCCTTGTCATCCCTGAATAGGAAGCCCATCTGCAAGGCATTGACATTCACTTCCTGTGGTTTACCAAGATCACAACTGCGTCCTATTTAAAGGGCAAAAATTATTTAGCAAAGGTTGTGATGAAACCAAATATTGAAAGGTTGTTGGGAAATATAAAGTGTATAGGTAAACGACGCAAGTAGCTTCAAAGTAGACCACAGAAGTCTTAGTTCTTTGGCATACAAGCCTTTTGAAGTGTGTAGAAAAATATTAAGCGGTCACAGGACTGGGGACAGACACATGGCAGTCAAAGCCACCCTGTAGCACCCGGTTCATCTGCAGCTGCCCAGCCTGCAGCTTGGAGTGTGTTTCCCCAACCCTTTGCTCACCCATTTTGTCTTTCATAGACTTTGTGGTGACTGCGAGGGATAGAGAACAGGAAAGGAGGGTAGATAGTCCTGAACCTAATCCCCAGTTTCTATTCTCTTTCAGATGAGTTTCCCATGGGTTTATTGTTAAAACTACCTGATTGTTCATCAGTTGCCTGGATACAGACATTATAACGTTACCTATTTGAAATTACTTCTTCCTTTTTGTTGAGTCCTGGAATATGTATTGTGAAACTGGACCTAATAATAAAGGGGAACTGTTTCAACTGAACTTAGCCTTTATAGCCTTAATGATTCTATAAAGTGTTTATTTCCCAAGTGAAAAGAAATAAACATAGATGATTAATCTACATACACTTAAAAGGTTGAACCCTTCTGAACAATTTAACTTTGTCCTCAGAACTTCAGAATACAACATGGGATTCTACCACTTCAAGATGTGAACACCAATACTTGAGGTTCCAATTTCCACTGCCTGTGCATTCACCCAATTAGGGCCATTAAAGAAGTTTATCATTATGCATATTTATTTGAAAATACCATTTCAGTGCTTGAAACACCAGCTGAGCAATGAGCTTGCCTTCATGTACTTTGCCCAGGACTTGTGTATGCCTATTACTAGAGAAGCACAAAAAGTAATCGGAAATCTTCAAAGAGAAGTCATGGCACGGCTTTTGGCAGCACACATACAGAAACACACTTCCTCTTAACTTTAGATAGCATTTGATGCTCGGATGCGCCATTTGGAGTGAGTAGGAAGGCCCATGAGAAGATGTGCAGGCATTCGGTGTGACTGGACTGAGAGGAGTCTCCTGCCATTCTCTCTAACCAAAGGAAAGTGAGGAAGAGCTGCTCATTGGCATAGAAACAGCTGCTGTGGCCAGTCCATTGCTTCGCAGAACTAGGAGTAAGGAATGTGAGCTCTCGGGAGTGAAACCTCAGTAGCAGGGTAGAGTTTGAGAGAGGTGGCAATTCACTAGGGAAGAGGCCTTCTATTCTGAAACGGGAAACTAAAACCTAAACAGGAACAGTGACAAAACCACACGGTTAACATTTTTCTAGATTAACGTAAATCATGTGAACAGCATTTTAGATCTGTACACTTGCAATTCTAAAAGCAAACTGGTGCGTATTTTTGTACGTGGATAAATTGTCGTTTACATGTTTCTCTTCAGTTGTCTCTGATGTGTGTGCATTTTTCACTACAGCCCTTGAACTACCTTAACTAGCTACCATATATGTGTGGCCAGTTTCCTTCCTATAGAAGTTTTGGCCACAGGGCTAGAAAAAGCTGAAGTTTATCAGATTGCAACTTGCACCCTCAAAAAAAGCGTTTCTCCCCTCCCAGTCTCACGCCTTGGCCAGCCAAAGTTTCAGTGTCTGACAGACATCTAGTGGAATGTGGGGACATGGAGGGGGCTTTTCCCTTACAAGCTAGTTCTCTCCACGCAAGGAATTCCTGCAGGAAAGAGGATTCCACTATGTCCATCCCTTCCACGTGCGTGTACCCAAACATGCTCCTTGAAGATCCAGCTGGGAAGTGTGCCTTGTCCCAGGTTTCCTCGGCTATGAAATGTCAGGAAGCCTCGATGGCAGCCGCAAAAAGGATAACCAGGCTCAGTCAGGAAAGACCCCTTTCGCCTCGAACCTGGCGGTTTTATTGAAAGAGCACCCAGGACCCCTGCGGTGACTTATGACAGCATGCAACTGATAGTGGTTCTCGCCGCCCACTACAAAATCACAGCCCACGTACAGCCACTTTTATAACCTCCTGAACACCAATACAGAGCTGAGTTTCCAAATCATACTAGTCCAATAGCATCCTGATGTCTTTAGCATGGCATGATGTTCGAAACCAGACAGAAATACTGGTCACGGTAGTATGGGAAGCATTCCTGGTTGCTTTCTTGACCCGTCACTTGAGTCACCTCTGCAATCTGGATGCTGCCCAGACATGCAAATGTGTCCGATGGAGGAACCGCCCAGGAAATCTGGTTTGGCAGCTACTCTGCGCGGGCGCTTGCCTCGTGGGACCAGATGCCTAAGCGGTCCGTTCAGAGCCAAGTGGGCTCCATCGCTCCGGCGTCTCTGCGGCGGATGGGAACACAGGTACTTCCTCGCCGATGGTGTCAGCCTGGAGCCGCTTCTCCGCCCCGTGCAGAGTCCCAGCTCCTTAACGGAACAGCGGCGCTGAGCGGTGGCCCGGCTTGCAGGCTGGGGCCTTCCGAGCAAGGGGCGCAGGGGCGATTTTGTAGCGCAAAGGCACATGTGGGCAACCCTCTCCTGCCGGGATGCAGCCGGATTTTCCCAGCAGAAACGAGGATCCGCCGAACGCCCGACGAGCCTCCGCGCAGCGACGCTCCGGCGGGGAAGGCGACGCGGTGCCACAGAGCGCGGCCCCGCCGGAGGCCTAGAGCGGCCGGCCGAGCGCCTCTTCCGGAGGGAGCCCGAGCGAGCGCCGCCTCCGCCTGATTGGGTGCCCTCCGCTCGGGAGGAGCCAGTAGGCGCTGCGAGCCGGGGAGCCCTCGCGACTGGCCAATCGGAGCGAGCCTCAGAGGCAGCCGCGGTAGAAGCCCGATCCGAGAGAGGCCCGCCTCCGATTGGCGGGCCGGTGACGCCGGGAGGGCGGGGCTGCGCGGGGCGCTGGCGGAGCGGCCATGGCGGCGGGCGGCGGAGGCGCGGAGGAGCCGCCGGCGCGGGGGGACGCCG